TTTTTTTCTGAATAAATATCATAATTTTAATCATTTTGCTTGAATTCAGTAAAATGTCATTATTTTCAAATGATTTCGTTGCTTGTTAAATTTTTAATGCCAGAAAAATAACATATTTTGAGTGCAGAAAGGTCAAATTATTTACCATGCAAAGTAAATTTTAAATTTTTTTCGTAGTCGCAAATTTCAATGTGGATATTCAAGATGAAATGAGACTGTGTTTGTTCCGATTATATATTTGAATAAAAAATATTGGAGGAAAAACTTTGAGATATTGATTTATGTGTTAGACGTAATTATAGTGCAAAAAGGTCATATTAAATGCTCCGTAGCGCCAAAAGAAGTGAATTAACCCAATTTTGTGTTTTGGTTTTAAATTGAACTTTAATTGTTTGTAGATTATAAAAATATACTTGAAATTTTTTTTAATACTTTTGATAACAGGATGTAACCTCCTTATATGTCTTTTTTTAAACCCCATGTTATTACTTCTCACATTGGCCTCTCTTGGTCTTTGAAGAACATTTAAAAAGACAAGAGGCCCATGGGCCACATCGCTCACCTGAGCACATTAGCTAGACACAAATCAGTTCAGTATTGAAAAGATTACTGGGGGTTGGGGGGGGGGTGAATTTTAAACTACCTGATGATGCTTCCATGTCAATATAACAAATGGCTTTGTTGTACTTGAGAAGATTTTTTAAAAAAATTTCCCATACACTCCTTTGTAAAATTTTGATTCCCCATTGTGGCTCCTCCCTATCCCAGAGGTCATCATTTGAACAAACTTGAATCTACACTACCCGAGGATGCTTCCATATCAATATGACTAAACATAGCTTTTCTGTTCTTGAGAAGAAATAATTTTTCTATGTGTTCTTATGTAAAACTTTCGATCCCCATTGGGCCCCACCCTACCCCTGGGGGTTATCATTTGAAAAAAAAATTGAATTTACACTACCTGAGGATGCTTCCATATCAAAATGACTAAACATGATTTTCATTTCTTGACAAGAAGATATTTTCCAATATGTTCCTTTGTAAAAAAAAAAATTTTGATCCCCCATTGTGGCTCATCCCTATCCCCGGGGGTCATCATTTTAACAATCTTGAATCTACACTACCTGAGGATGCTTTCATATCAAAATGACTAATCATGGCTTTGCAGTTCTTCATCAGAAGAAACCTTCCTATATATTTCTATTTCAGACATAATGATCCTCCATTGTGGCCCCGCCCTACCCCAGGGGGTCATGATTTGAACAAACCTGAATTCGTACCTGAGGATACTTCCACATAAATATGATCTATCAGGGCTTTGCTGTTCCTGAGAAGAAGATTTTTAAAAATTTTTCCTATATATTTCTAAGTAAAACTTTGATCCTCTATTGTGGCCCCGCCCTATCCCCCGGGGTCATGATTTGAACAAACTTGAATCTACACTACCTGAGGATGCTTCCATATAAATATGACTCATCATGGCTTTGCTGTTCTTGAGAAGAAGATTTTTAAAGGTTTTTCCTATATATTTCTATGTTAAACTTAGATCATCCATTGTGGCCCCGCACTACCCCCGAGGGTCATGATTTGAACAAACTTGAATCTACACTACCTGAGGATGCTTCCATATAAATATGACCAATTAGGGCTTTGCTATTCTTGAGAAGAAGATTTTTAAAGGTTTTTCCTATATATTTATATGTAAAACTTTGATCCTCCATTGTGGCTCCGCCCTACCCCCGGGGGTCATGATTTGAACAAACTTGAATCTACACTACCTGGGGATACTTCCATATAAATATGACTAATCATGGCTTTGCTGTTCTTGAAAAGAAGATTTTTGAAGGTTTTTCCTAGATATTTCTATGTTAAACTTTGATCCTCCATTGTGGCCCCGCCCTACCCCGGGGGTCATGATTTGGACAAATTTGAATCTCCACTACCTGAGGATGCTTCCATATAAATATGACCAATTAAGGCTTTGCTGTTCTTGAGAAGAAGATTTTTAAAAGTTTTTCCTATATATTTCTATGTAAAACTTTGATCCTCCATTGTGGCCCCGCCCTACTCCCGGGGGTCATGATTTGAACAAATTTCAATCTACACTACCTGAGGATGCTTCCACATGAGTTTCAATTTCCCTGGCTTTGTTGTTCTTGAAAAGAAGATTTTTAAAAGATGCTATTAATTTTTCACTAATTCTTTATTATCTCCCATTGAAAGAGGGCGTGGCCCTTCATTTGAACAAACTTGAATCCCCTTTACCCAAGGATACTCTGTGCCAAGTTTGGTTGAAATTGGCCCAGTAGTTCTGGAGAAGAAGTTGAAATTGTGAAAAGTTTACGCCTACGACAACGACGACAACGCGAACGACAACGACGACAGACAACGGACAAATTTTGATCAGAAAAGCTCACTTGAGCCTTTGGCTCAGGTGAGCTAATAAGTTATTTTTATCTCATTTTTATTTATCTATTATTTCCAAGTCTACCTGATCATTAAAACTATGAATTTCAAAGTACTTTTTTGTATTATACTCATAAATATTCTCTTATTCTATTAACCTTTCAAATACATTATTTACAGTGATTAATTATCAAAGGTGAATGGCAAAGAGGAATAACTTTGTTCAGCAGAATACAAGTTAACACTTGAATAAATGGTCCAGGTGTTCGAAATTCTGGTAAAAATAATCCTTGCATTTTAAAACATTCACTCTGTTTACCTCGAATATGCCCAGAAGTATACAAGATTTTCAAATAAATGCATTTTGACTATATTATTAAATAAATAAAGCCCCATCCTTACACCAGAACATCTGACTTATTGGCCATGAACTCACAATTCTGGAAGAAGCACCCTTGTTCATCATAGCTATACACTTGTTTCTTTGCTTTATAACCAGTAGTAGAAAAAAAATATTTGAAAGAAATTATGCATTTTCACTTTATAATCAATAGAGCCCCCTCCCCCTTCATAAGAACCCCTCACTCAGGGGCTATGAATTTCACAATTTTGGAAAAAGCAAACATGCTCATCTTAACTATGTACTAAGTTAGTTTATTTGATACCCAGGAGCAGAGAAGAAGATTTTCAAAAAATTAATGCAATTTTACTATATAATCAATAGAGCCCCGCCCTAACACCTGAAACCCTAACCCAGGGGCCATGAAATTCACAATTTCTGAAAAGGCAGCCGTGCTCGCCATAACTATGTTTTTAGTTAGTTTATTTAATATCCAGGAGCAGAGAAGATTTTTAATGAATTAATGTATTTTCCCTATATAATCAATAGAGCCCGCCCTAACACCAGAACCCCTGACCCTGGGGCCATGAAATTCACAATTTTGGAAGAGGCAATCATGCTCATCATAACTATGCACTAGGTTTATTTAATACCCATCAGCAGAGAAGAGGATTTTCAAAGAATTTATGTATTTTCACTATATAATCAATAGAGCCCCGCCCTAACACCAGAACCCCCACCCCAGGGGCCATGAAATTCACAATTTCTGAAAAGGCAGCCATGCTTACTATAACTATGTTCTTAGTTAGTTTATTTAAAACCCAGCAGCAGAGAAGATTTTCAACGAGTTTATGTATTTTCACTTTATAATCAATAGAGCCCGCCATAACACCAGACTCTGGAGCCATGAAATACACAATTTTGGAAGAGGCACTCTTACTCTTTATAACTATATACCTAGTTTATTTAATATCCAGGAGCAGAGAAGAAAATTTCCAAAAAAAATAATGCACTTTCACTATATGATCTATATAGCCCCACCCTAGCACCAGAACCCCTGACCCTGGGGCCATGAATTTCACAATTTTGGTAGAGGGCTGAATGCTTATTACAATCACTTCAACAATCTGACTGCTTGATGTCCAGGAGTAAAGAAGGAGATTTTTAAAGATTGCATTTATTTTAGTGGTTTTAGCCCCACCCTTCAGGCCCCAGGGAGGCAGGGACCATGAAATTTCATAATTTTTATTCCCCTTCACCCATAGATCCTATATGCCAAATTTGGTTGAAATTGGTTAAGTGGTTTCAGAGAAGAAGCTAAAAATGTTCAAATGTTGACACACAACGCACTAGTGACTCAGGTGACCTAATTAAACATTTTGTACTTATATATATATATATATAGAGAGAGAGAGAGAGAGAGAGAGAGAATAAATACGTCATATTTGAAAGGTGCTGAATAAGGTCTGAAGACTTACGGGCGTTACATTTCTCGCCTTTAAATCCTGGTTGACATCCCTTCATACAATGACCGTCGACATAGTAACAAGTTTCATTGTTCCAACAATATCCACTGCATTTCTCTTCACACATAACACCAAACGTACCACCACTACATTCTTCATAAAATGAAAATAGTCTGTGTAGAAAGCATAAATTCTGTTAACGCTGTTCTTTCTAAAAATGAAATATCCGAAAAAAATGTTTCAGTAAAAATTGAGTATACGTTGATGATTTTTCAATTATAAGTTATATAACAACACTTAAATATAGGCAAAATCTTACTAGATAACACAAAGGAATGGAAGAAATAGATTTATGTAAAATACATGTAAATTTGTTCTTGTATAATCTGTAAATTTTATTTAATAATTACTTTTGTTGCAATTGTCATTCCTCCATCCCGGCATGCAACCATTATAGCAGGAGCCAGTTACGTAATTACAAGATTTGTTCATACAGTGCTTGCTGCATTCATCAGAACAGTTTTGTCCAAATGTACCAAGTTCGCAAGCTTCATAAAAAAATAAAAGAAAGGATAAAATGTACATTGTATGAAATTTAACACTAAAGATCTAAGATGTTTTTTTCTCTCTCTCTAAAATATGAAACAATGTTATTTAATATGTTAGAAAAATATGTTCTGATGTGTTCAAAATAAACCCCTTTTACATAGAAGAAAAGAACCAGGGTATAAATGACATAAATATGCTTCTATCACAAACTGTGAAAACCCTGATATCAATGTTTATCTCTATTCTGACACTAAAAGCAAAATCCATTCTTAATATCAATTTATGACTAGTTCGTAGACTGTTACATATATGCTTTTAATAATGGAGAAAGTTAAGCAATTATTTATCTGTCTTTGAGAACAATGCAATTTTTACAACATGATAGAATTTTACTTTCTGTGCTTACTTTCATTACATAAAGATCCCTTATAACCCACTCTACATCCATCTATACATTCTCCATTAACCTTATTACAGGTTTTATTTTCAAGGCAATTTCCACTGCACAGTTTTACACAATTTGGACCATATGTACCAAAATCACATTCTGCAAAATAAAAATGTATACATATATATATGAAAATTATGTTTTAAAAGTAGATACGGTTAAGCCATGTATATAACAGAAAACTGTTTATCTGCCAGTTGTATTTTTTCTCCCACCCTCTTTATTTGAAGAAAAGTTAATAAATCATTCAATCTGAGGATTTTTTGAAAAACAGTATAATTGCGAAAATAATACAGCTTTAAATAACTATTCTATATAAACTCTTCTTATGTAAATTTAATTTTTGTAATCGTAGTGATCTGCCAGTCTCAAAGTACAATATAACACAAAGATATCTTTTTAACACAATTATTTATAGTAAAATGACAAAGTTGTCATAACAAAAACTGCTATAACATCTTGGTTGACAGAACTGTTTAGATACAATGACCTTGTTTCCAAAAGCCACAGAATGCAAATTGTAGCGAGGATTTAATTTTATATCATCTTACTTTCCTATAATACCTTAAAACATTAGAAAAAAATCACCTGGGTTATGAAAATGATGTCTATCAACAAAATGTGTTTATTACCTTTTTCACATTTAGAGCCTTTATAACCAGGGGCACATCCGTCATCGCAATCCCCGCTTTCTTTGTTGCAATCTATCTGCTTTGCACAGTTTCCAGAACAATTCTTTATACAATTTTCTCCGTATGTTCCATATATGCATGCTGTCAAACAAAATATTTCTCTCATATTTTCCCAAATATTCTCCAACATTACTGCACAAATTAAAAAAAAATACAAAAACATAAATCAGGTACATGAAATATTTGTGATATAAAATCTGCTTTTAAAATTGAACTTTTTCAGTTAATTACTTGAAGAGTATGAGTTTATCAAGAAAAAGTATTTTTACTCAAAACAACAAACTTTTACTGATTTGGTAATTTATGTAAAAAAAAAATATGATGTGAAATTGATCTTGTCAATTGAAGTAAATAAATAAGATTGAACTTACATGTACCCCCTCCCTTTAAAGTAGATATTAAAAATTTACCTGTATACCTCAGTAACAGAGAATTTCCAATCTTGCACAAAGAATCAATATTGATATCCGCTCAAAATTCAAAATGCTAGCCGTCATCATTGTTTGTATTACATTATCATGTATATCTTACTTTCATTACAGTCATATCCCGTCCATCCTGAACGACATCCATCACAATGACCACTCATGTGATTACAAGAATTATTTCTGCATCGGTCTGAACATGTTCCCTTGCATTCAGCTCCATAGTATCCAGATGGACAAGCTTAAAGAGACATTCATTTTACAAATTTACTTTTAAACATTTTATCAGAAAATATTCAAACAACTCTCTGCAAATTTATAATTGGAATTTCACATGTTTAAATGTTTCACAATAAAGAGGGTCTAGATTTTGTTTTTCATATTAAAAAAAACAGTCTATGCATTTTAATTATACTACTTTTAATTTGCCTCAATTTCTCAATTATTGCTTAAAGATTAAAAAAAAATCGAATGTTAACCGTCCCGATTTCTTAGGGGACCATCTCAAAAGTTGTCAAATTTTACCATTGGACCCAATGGCAATTTATTGGAAAAGCGCCAAATTATCATATTTCCCCCCATATGTTTGGTATTTCTGCTATAGAGATTTCATTTTCAGCCAAGTACATTAAATATTTTTTGTAAAAAGTCACCAAATTGTGAATTTCAAAAATGTTGACCATCTAGGTTGGTGTAGGAATTATTACAACGTTATTTTTTCAATGCCCATTACCTCTCAAATTGCCACATTGCGGTATATATATATATATATATATATATATATATATATATATATATATATATATATATATATATATATATATATATATATATATATATATATATATATATATATATATATCGGTGCAGATGAATTATCGGCGCAGATGAATTATTTTGGTAAAAAAAAAAAAAAAATTAGCAATGTTTAGATTGCTAGTATGTTTCTTTTTATGTTCTGTCAACAGTTTTTAGTAAATTATCCATGGACGTCTTGAATATACAAGCGAGTCATGTGTCATTCTTCAGCGTCATGCATCGGAAAACAGTGACGTTGTTAGAGCCATTTCAGCGTTTTTTTTCCTAATTATTGTCATAAAAGCACAAATTCAGACCCATAGGTGTTACAGATAATGTTAATTTTATATTAAAATCACAACATTTGGGAAAGATGTAATGTCGCAATATGACTGCATGAAATTAAAACGTTGCGCAAAATCACGCGCCTCGTTAAGTGTCGTGTTCCAAAAGGTGCTGGTACAATATAGTACCCTAAATACTTTGGCCGTGATTAAAGCTTAACACGACTTGTAAAAGGAAAAGATTTATCCTTGTCTGTTATATTTTTCTCCGAAAGCCTCTTATTCCTGAGCCCCTATATAAACCCCTGAATTCTTCACGATGGAAGTATTTCGCTGTGAAGATCTCACATGTGTGGATTTGTCTTACATAGCCATTGTAACTCGGCTGTGATACTATTTCAAATGTATGCAACTATACCACATCAAGAGAAACAGTAACATCAGTTGCACAGGGCATTTCATTAAAAATAAGCACTTTATGCACGTTAATCCAACGGAATAAAGTGTAAACACTTAGACAAGAAATACTATAAAAGCAGACCATATGAGATCCAGTTGTGCAATCAGGTATAACGAATGAGAAGGCTATCTATACCGTAGTGCTGTTTTATGAGGAAAACTAATATGGTGTATAGCAATTTACGAGTCGTGTTCAGCTTCAAGCACCATACATAGGTCGAAATGTGTGGCACTTAATTTAAGGGGATGCAGGACACAAGTCACATGACACAATTGACAACATAATAATGCCTATTAATAAAGATGCTAAAACGTTATTAAAATCGCCAGTAGTTGTGCAGTTTTTTTTTCCGCAAATTGTTGCGCTTTATCACCTAATATGAAAATATTTCAGAGTTTTAAAATTCATATCAATATTTAAGAATTGTGAAGATTGATCAATTCCTCTGTTTTCCCTATACTGTGCGTCGAACAAGACAGTGACGACATATATCTGTTAGTGCAGCAAGATCAAGTACACATGATTACATGGTCAACTTTATTATATGAAACAGATTATTGTCAGCCTATTTTGAGGTATTTAATGAAGAAACACAGTCATAATTTTGTTTGCATGTTAGCAGATTTTTTTATATATATTTATATCTTATATAAAGGCTTTAAGGCTTTCGTCTGACATCATAGTTGTTTTCCCCGTAATCGGAAAATATAAACATACAACGTTTTCATCACGATTACAAATGAGTTTTTTGTCATTAAAGTTGTCTCGAAAAGTGCGTAAATTATCCAATCTATATACAGTGTGGAATAAAAACCTTCCTTAAAGAACGTTAAACTCAATTCATATTGTAAAATATTTGAAGTAATACTTGTTCTCATACATATCCTTTATTTGTACTTAAAATTTCCCCCTATGGACTCGGTGTTGGGATCGTAAACCTTAACTTCATACAACACGGTACGGAGCAAAATTTGTGAAGGCAATATCTCTTAAATAAGTCGAGAAGTCTTATGAAAGAACTGCTTTAAGATATGTAGGACATTCTAAATTAGTAATATACAAAATATCGGTCCTGCTCCTCCTTAAAGATGGTGACGTTTCTTCATGAGTAAAAATTCTCAATAGGGAAGTTCAACATCCAATCTATGACTTTTTTTTTAATTTCCGACACCTTCCTTGTTAAAATAACCGGTATTGATCCTTGAATGTCTTATAGAATGTGAAATATAAGAAAAAGTCCCGTACCTAAAGTTACTATACATCATAGGGCTGGGGAATAATACCGATATTCCAGTATATTCAGGTACGGTGACAAAAATATAGTATTACATTACGTTTTTGTAGTACCGATATAATGGCAAAATACTGGACTCGGATTTCAGTATTAAAATATAAAATATTCTTGTCAGAAACGTTTGGATTGTGTCAACAGTAAGGCAAAAATTGTTTCATGGGTGCCTTTTGATGCATATCTGGAATTCAATCAACAAGTTTTTTTCTTGGTCATTTATCGTAGTTATGTACATTCTGCATGTAAAGGGAATTTTGATATTGCAATACATATCGCAATACAGTTAGAAATCGCAGTTTATCGCAGTCTTTAGCCAATACCCAACCCTAAAACACCAACATTTTAATTTGCTGGACTGATTACAAATAAACCAATAATTGTTCACATTTTAAATCATTCGTTTTCAAAAGTAGACTGGAATTAAATTTGTAAAATTCCTGCAGAAATGAATCAATTAGTTATCAAAACACACACAAAAAATCTTTGGAGTAGTACAAATTATTTATCTTCAATAGCTTTATAAGGAATCCAAGTACATCACATGAATCAATATTCCAAAACTTTAGTGTGCATGGACTCTAAAATTGACCTGTTATATTTTTGCCAGTGATAGATTTACAGTCATTGCACATAAGTATTCGTTACTGACGTCAAAATACACAATTGGTCGTAAACGTTGTAAATGCTACAGTAACTATAGACAAAAAAAATCGCTTTTCGGAAATTCGGTCAAAATGAACGCCCCACATTTCTGGTGACGTCACTATGTATAATTATCTCTAGAGTTTGTTTAGTAAGATAGACAAGATGGCAACGGCGGAAAACGGAGGGAATTCTCGTTGCCAAAAAAACATCTGAGGTGTAAGTAATATTTTACCATCAAAACACTTTTCCCCAATCCAGCCGTCAATACATCCAGAACAAGTACCATTAGTTATGTAACACCTTCTCTCTTGGCAATTTGTAGGACATGTTTCATTACAGAAATTTCCATAAGCATCGTCCCTTTCACAACCTTTGAAACATATATATTAGTCTCTTTCAAAATATTTCGTCTCTTAGCTGTATATTTAATTTTAATTGTTAATGAGTTTGATAAATGGTATGTGTTTATTTCCAGTGCAATCAATTAAAGTGATCTGTAAAAGGAAAAAAACTACTAACCGTGTACAATAACTTCACAGAGCTGTGTGTATGTATATAGTTGATTTCCAGGATACGTCACACCAGGAACCCTTTCGTTGTAGAAAATTACATATCGACCAAACGTAGCACATACACCTGTAACGTTAAGGTCGGGTAAATCCGGCCCTGTATGATTGTAACACAAGTAAGCCTCTTGTAAAAGACTGAAATCTGTACTGTTAGAGATGTAGAGTTTGTATCCATACATACGCTCTCTCTGTCTTTGTTCTAGAATTTAATGAAGAAAACAAATATAAAAGGTTACACATCTCACATAGAATGTTTACAGTAACGTTAAAGAAATTGTAAGTAGATAATCCTTCAGACAAGAATAATGTGGTTTTACCTATAAGTTTAATGAAACGATATAGATAAAAGGATCATTATTTCAGCAGTTTATTTTTTTTTTCAAACAAGTCTAATTTTCCCTTAAGGTAGAGCAAGAAATACCTACACAAAACTATTTTTGTTCAAAATTTTAAAATGATATGATTACAATCATTAAGAGGCGTATATTGTATATAAGCAAACCCTCTTCGAAGCCTTTCTACCATGCTATTCCTGCATAGCAACAATACCTTTTGCGTCATTATAACCATTCTGAAAGTGAGATAATTTGAAAATCTTTTCTGATTTATAAAGTTTCTGTTTCAAAAGTAGCCATTGTATGCAAAAAATCAATTAAGTTTTAAGCTAAGCCCTATATACTTTTTTCAGTTTCATTAGAGTGATTTGAATTTAACGTCCAATGGGAAATCAACATTGATGCATAATTTATCTCGACCTTTACAGTAACTTAGATCTTAAAGTAGATTGTCTTCAAATACAGAAATTAAAACTCCTTTCAAAAGGCCAATCTATTTCTTATTTTTTCTTTTTTCTCCTCGTCCTTGAAAGAGAACTCTTAAATATAAGTAAACAGACAGGATGCTTAATATGTTAGGATGACTTTCAAAAGATTTAGTTTCTTTTGTTTTCCATAAAAGAAAAGGAAATGGGTGAATTAAGAGGTATTTTATTTTCATTTTATGCGGCAATTTTTTTATTACTTACCAAGACTGGTATCATAAAGCCTGAAGTAAATCTCTACGTCATAAATACTTTTGACTTTTTGAAGATCCACATACCACCATGTTGTCTCGGAGACATCAGTGGAGGAACATGTTGATATAGATCTGTCTACAGCATTCTGAGAAACATCAGTTATTTGATTACCTGATTGTTTTGTTGGTTTATTTGCCGATATATCGTCTGCAAAAAGGAAATCCCCATTCAGTGGTTGAATTCGAATCACATGCAAACTCTTCGAAAGTGCATTAAATTTTTAACGTTTCAAAACAATTCAGGTATACACCATGGTTGAAATATTTTAGCAAGATTCGCCTTAAAACTGTAGAATCCTTTAATTTGTTATTTAAAAACTGAAATATTGATGTTTTTAGATCACAGCACGGTAATTTTTATTTTCTTATTCAAGTATTTCTTTATCAGATTAAAGTATAAAATATCAGTTCAGATGTACTTGATGTCAATTCCTGTTGTAATTAAGGTAGTATGGGATACCTCCATGTCATGACGTACTTCCTGTCAAGTCTTGTTTTGATTTGCTTGAGCGCTTATCATCAGGTCAATATTTGTATATACACCATTTAGAATAATTATCTGAAGCCATTTTCATGCAAGTTTTCACAAGTTAGCATTTTATTTAAAATAGACAAAAATTTACATGTCTGAAATTTCTAATATTGTACTAACATTTGTACTATGGACAAGTAAAAAAAGAACCTTAAAAAGATAGTTTAAACATCCTGCTCTTGAATATTTTTAAGTAAAAGATATACATATATTTCCATAGTTTTACTAATAGTACACCACCTCGTGTGCGGTGAGGCTTGGATAATTATGATTAATTATTACTAGAACTGGTGTTCTTTATTATTTCATTCAAGAAGTAACTGTTTGATCTCATATAGCCCTAAAACTTTTCGAACTTTGATTGCAAATTCTCTGAATGAGAAATATATTGGATAGCAATTGTTCGTGCATTATTTTCAGAACAGTTCAGTAAAAATCTGACTGCACAAAAGTGCGAATTTTTTTGAAAGTCTGAAAAATTGCTCGTAATTTGAAAAGCACCCGGGTATTTCAACCCGTGGAAAATAAAGAGCAACTCTTCCATTATGATCTTTTAATTCAAAAATTTGTAAATGCATATGATATTTTCCATTTATATATATTTTTTTCATTTTTTATATTTCACTTTATTAACATATTTAGGCACATTCTTATTGTAGCTATAGATTACCATGGAATTTTATCCATCTGTTTCAAGAAATGAAGTTTTACTAGTTTCTATGCTTTTTGTTGTTGTTGTTGTTGTTGTTGTTGTTGAAAATAAAAAAAAAATAATGAGACTATTTTCTCCACTTTTTTGTTTTTATATCAACACTATAATAGGTACCTCTCACCTATAGTAATCAGCTTTTGAAAAAAAGAAATTATATAAGAAAAAAAAACATTTTTGTATTTTTTTTTATTAAATTATTTATTGATTGATTGATTGATTGATTGTATATTGTTTTACGTCCCATTCGAGAATTTTTCACTCATATAGAGACGTCACCATATACCGGTGAAGGGCTTCAAATTTTGACCTTTACTCGGCACTCAGGGCCATTGAGCAGTGAGGGATCTTTATCGTGCCAACGCCTGCCGTGACACGGGGCCTCGGTTTTTAAGGTCTCATCCGAAAGACCCGCAACTTTCACTCCAAAGTGCCGAGCGCATGGCGAAGGAACAGTTGCTACCTATTTTTATCGACTTAGGTCTGTCGCGGCCGAGATTCGAACTCACGACCTCCCGATCACGGAGCGAGCGCTCTACCGACTGAGCTACCGTGAACATAAAGAATTATTAAAATTACAATTTAAAATACTGAAAGGTGGGGGTATTTCAAATCCTACAAATTAATGCAAATAAATATGTAGGAAAAATTTCATCTGGTATCCCATACCACCTTAACGTAGCTCTTTACTGTAACTTCCAGTCTTATGAAGAAAATAGTCTTTAGTCCAAACTATCTTTTTCATAACGTTTAATCCTTGTCCATTATAGTCTATTCCTTAACGTACCTAAAGTTAAAGACATATTTTCTGCATATACTCCGTAGATGTAAACAAAAATAATCATTTCTGTACTCAGTTTTCAACCTTCTACTACTATCGTATTAATTTAAAATAAGATAGACAAATGCTGTACTTTCAATTTACGCAAGTCCATTGGGATTTTTCTCAATTCAAAATGAAGCGTTTTGCAATAGAAGAGTTCTACTGAAACATTATGAAAATAACACGGCTTCGAAATGACATCAAAAGACAGACTAATAAATAACGACTCCAGTTTAAACCCTAGTAAATACAAAGAATTAGGTCTCCGAACTGTAGTATTCTAGTTTTAAGACAAGGTAAATTGCCATTACTAGAGAGTTATTGCAAGGTCCATACTTCCATTTCCAATTTTCTCTCCAAAAAATAATAATACTTTACCGGCCGATTATGAAAAGAACACGCGGCGAGTGTGCACGGCAGAAAATGCTTACTCCTTCATGGCAAGTGATCCTTCCTCTGATGTTTTAGTGGTCCATGTTTGCTCTGCTCCCAATTTGTATTGTTCCAATGGACTTTTGAGCATGAGCACTGTTCTTTATCTTCACATTTCATTTAAAAATAATTTGCATTGTTAATAATCAGTGATCATTTCTTCTTTTGATTCCAGCATCAATACAATTAACCCGTTCTATTTCAAAATCACCACAATTCTTTCTGCACAATATAACTTCACAAAAATTAATTATGTAAAGGTTATAGGCCGAAAACTGTCCATTCTCTGAGAAGAAAGAACTGTTGGGGGGCCGTTAGGCCCGGTGATAGTTCTTTCTTCTCACAGAATGGACAGTTTGAGACCTATAACCTACTTAAAACATTTACCCTATTGTGTTCATAATGTACTCTCTTAGAATTGTTTCTTATCCATTGTATTAAGTAAGCATTATCTACTTATTAGACTGTCTCAGGTAAAGATTGTTGACAATCAAAAGAAACTTACATTCATTGTAATTGTTAATTTAATGGACAGTTACAGGTAAATGCTAATTTTAAATAAACGAATTAAGAATATTTAACCACAATGCTATGAGATTCCAAAATCATTTTCTTGTGATTGTCAATGTTGAAAGCACGTCTTCTTCCGAGGGAGAAAGCATATTTCTGATGCGAATCATATTGAGATATGACGAGCAATCTGCTAATACTGGATTTTGAGGTTAGGATTGTCAAGATAATGAACTTTAAACTCAAAGTGGACATTTTTTTTCAAATATGTCTCAACTTTTTGTCCAAGGCTATTCAAGGATGCAGAAGAACAAAGGGAACATAGAAAGATTTTGGCAATTAAATCAAAAATATTTAGATGATTTAGAAAAGGTTTTTCGCAGAAAACAGAGAAATTTAAATGGGCAGTGACTGTGTTCTTTAACTGTCAGGGAGAATGTTGAACAGTACCAAATGTTGATGTTTTCATGCTTAAGGATGTTGGGTGATAAAGAAATCAACATTTTTTTTATTTTTTCATCACTGAAGTCAGAAACGAATCGAACAAAGACTAATGACCAAATACCCCTGCGTTCCTATTACAGAAAAAACAGTGGTCCTGCAGAAAGTGAGCAAAATTATTCGGAGTTCTTGTGAGAAGGAAGTAGCAATTGATTCTTGTCAGTAAGGCATTAAAAAAAGTGAAGTGATATCCCTGCGTGTGTCGTGGTGCAAGTTACATAGAATTCGGAGATATTTCCTTCAAATTTAAGTTTTGACATTCATGTGATTTGGAATGTACATTTTATCATTTTCAATGTTTGTTTCTGGACTTGGAATATATATTTCATTACATTGTGAAACATGTTGGATTCATTACTTCAAATATTTAATTGTGTAGTTGTTGTGTTTTCTTAATCCATTAATTTACCTGTAGCCGTCCAATAAGTTATTAAATACTGTCCATTATTTTTAATAATGAACAGATTTTTTAACTTATTGGACGGTTACAGGTAACTTATTGGACTGTTTTGGGCCTTTCAGGGAATAGAAAGTATTAAAAGAACAAAGGATGATGTCATATTAATGTTTTAATAATTCTTATCTTTTGAAAGATATAGTCACATAAACCGAATTAGGGATAAACTCGTGCACGAAACTTCAGGAAAATCCGTATTATTTCTTTCAAAGAATGAAATATTAATGTAATTTGATAGTGCGACTCTAAACGATATGTTCTTTTTCTAAATCTGTCAACAACACAAATATTTAATGAAATCATTTCACACTTATTATTCAAATACATTATTAACTACAAATGTACCTTTTTTTAAATTTAATGCGTATGATTGCATTTACTGTATAATCCACCGGAAACCTAACAAAGGTTTGTTTTTGTTTTGTTTAGTTAATTGGGAGGGGGAGTAATTTATAATAGACTATCTATTTTAGAACTTTGTTACGATGTATAAAATAAATTTTGATTGAATTAATTCATTTCAAACATAAATGCCAGTCATTGCCTTGCATTAGGAAAAAAGCCAAATATCGCTCGCGTGGTGTATGTTATACCTGAACTTTTAGATAAAAAGTACAAAGAACTTTAAACATGTCATTAGCTTCGATTGGAATTACATGTACTTTGGTTTCCTGCACGCGTCCTCATTTATATCACTTAATTCAGAAAAGAAGCAAATCTGAGATTAACATTTTTGTTTAAAAAGAATGAATAAATGAATTGCACAATGATTTTTTCCTAAGGTGTATGAATTTGATAATGATCGATAACTGTCTTACTTCCTGGGTCTGGTAAACAACATCAAATGAAACGAAAGGAGCAAAACTAGCGCTATTCTAATGCAGATGAAAAAAAGTATTCAACAATTACTTGATACAAACCGTATCCGGATGAGATATTCACACTGGAAAATTTGAGAAATAAACAAATGAAAATTGGTCGCATATTTTTAACTTGTCTATCAGGTTTTTAGATGGATACCAGTATGCAGTCAAGGCCAACGTTATATTTTTAGATCAGTCAGTCAAGATAACTTGCTAAGATTTTTTTTACCCTTTAAACTCAACAAACAAATATTTGAAAAACATTTAGATATTAAGTCAACGTAGGAGTCAAGATTTTTTGAATAGTTTTTAGCTGCTATGTCGTATAAATCATTCCAAAATTAAGAAATATATGCATAATAACGTTTGATGTATAATATATAATAATTTAGATATAAGAAATTTGAAAATATGGTTTATCATATGTGGACAAAATTATTATTCCATTCCTGTGTTGTTTTTTTTTTTTTTTTTTTTTTTGGAGGGATTGACTTCATAGCGAAAAATCAAGATTTTTTTAAAAATATTTAAATCTAATTTGACACATAAAGTACATGTTATTTTTTTCACTAATTATCATTTTTGCCACATCTCTCTCGGATAGCAGGCCCATTACACTTGACATCTTTTCTGGATAAG